AGTAAAACGTTCTACTGTTTAATATTAAGTGTAAATTAAAGAAGTATGTCATAAAAATAAAAAGTAATTATGCGGTTGTTACATTATTCTTAAATTTGCAATAAGAATGTCGGTTAAAATCTAATGTTTCTCTTAGGCTATTTTAAGAAAAAAATATGGCAACATTATCGATTTGGGTTATTTCTAGAATAGAAGGAATCTTCAGTTATTAAGGAAAAGATTTCCCTTTGTAGTGGCGTGAAGTAGGAACGCATGTTTGGAATTCGGTGTCTGCCTTGACCCTCTCTTAACGAAATTCTGTTGGCAAACCACTGTTTACTAATTGAGAAGAATAACGTTTGTTTAAAACATCACATTCTCTCTCTCTCTCTCTCTCTCTCTCTCTCTCTCTCTCTCTCTCTCTCGCTCTCTCTAAATAAATCAAAGAAAGATAGAATATGTATTGAATTTTTAATACGTTATTTTGAAAAAATCATAAAGCGATTTTTGCTTCAATGTGGCCTGGCGTCCTTTGTATAAATGATTTTCTAAAGTGAACGCTGATGAGAACACATTGACCAAAATGCCAAGCATTACAAACCAGAGAAAATTCGAAAAAAAAACTTTAGGCTGCAAAGAACTAAAAAATACGTGGAAATTTAGAGGAACATCACAAAAAAAATTACGAGAGTATTTAAACTACGAGGTTATAGGTTAGGTGTTTTTGAAAAAATACCCATTCGTTATTACGTCGGGTTCGAATGCGTGGCCGCTGAATTCGAACCCGGGACCTTTACCTTACAGTAATGAGCGCCTTGCCAATGCCTTAAAAGTTGCGGGCTCTGACGCCCCTCAGAAAAGGTTCGAATTATAAAGAGGGGGGGGGGTCAATTTCGATTTATAGAATGCCCTTTCTCCCCTTATGTTGAACCGGCACAGGGTTATTTACTGGATTCGTCTTCACTCGCGTGGTTTTGAGTTAATCAAACTCGTTAGAAATGGATGTGCAGAAGATGGCTAGAAAAAGGCTAGAATAGAAAAGAGGGCTAGAAACACAGTTCCATACTGAAGATGGCGCAACGCCGAAACGCGTTTGAATAACTCAAAAACCCGCGAGTAGAGACAGACCCAGGAAGTGACCCTGTGCCGGTTCAATACGAGTTCACCGACTTCCACCTAACATCGACTCTTTCTCCCCTTGTTAGGAAAAATATTTCGTATTACAATTTACCAAAGTGACCTGCTGAGGATAAATATCAACTTTCGAAATAGAAAGAGTAATACAATTCAACATGCTAGGTCGTGTTGTTTAATTGTGGGAATATTCGGCAATAAAACAAGCCGTGCTTAACCTCACTCATTAAGCTCATAATGTGCATGTTGAATAAAAACATAATGGGTAATAATGTTCACCAACTGGCCATTTGATCCAATAAACTTGTTGCTTTTCGAAACTGACTATAAAGGGGCGGATAAGGAACTCTGGACCAGCTTAAACTAATTAAACTTTATTCCTCTTAACCGCTTTCCGTACTCAGGATGAGTTTAACATTTTGATAGATTTCATTGTTAATGCATTTTCTTCTTTACCTACACACGTTTTACCATGTTTAGGTGTTTTAGAATTATTATTCTTTAAAAATATAGTCTAAAAGATGGAAATAATAACATAATTTGATAGAAGATATGATTATGCATGAATAATATTTTAAAATTAACATATTTACTGTCTTTTGGTGGACATAAAAAAATTAATTCGTAATGTGTGTTTTTTTTATTTACGGGTTGTTTAATAATTTGTTGGATTCGTGAAGACCGCTCCTCACGAATTCAACAAATTATTAATTCGAAACAAAAACACTTTTTGTACTTTATTCTTTTGCAATCTTTCGATGTACACTGACAGGCAAACATGCTAAGTTTTAAATTGGGAATATCATAAAAGGTAAACCCACTTAATCCTTAATTCAAAACAAGGATAAAGAAGTTTTCAACGTTTACTTTTTACGGAATTTAAAATGTTATTCAGTCTCATTTGAATTCTGACGCAATAAATTGTTTAGTTTACATCTTTGGTCTCTTAATTTCAATTTTTTAACTTAAAAATGCCTCTTAGTGCTGAGGATGTTGCGCTTGGTGTGGCACTTATTGATGATGGACGTTCCACTAGGTATGCGGCTATTGACAATTTTGCGAAACCGGCATCTTACCGTTGTTCAAGCGATTCATCAGCATCAGGCAGTTCGAGGTGTACAAATTTCTGAACGCATTGTTTGGAGAAGATTAAATCAGTATGGATCGATGGTTTTTCGCGCCGTAAGAGGACCAGAATTGACCAAAACACACAGAGTTGCACGGCTCGCATTTGCTCGAGAACACAGCCATTGGTCTTTGGACGATTGGTCTGCTGGACTTTTTACAGATGAGTGTAAATTTGCCACTCGCTATGTGGATGAAATTTTGGGACATCATGCGCTGCCTATCCTCGATGAAACCAGCGACAATCTTATTCTAATGCCCGATACTGCCCGTCCACATGTACCTCGCAGAGTACAAACGTACCTTCAACAACATAACATCGGGGTCTTAGCCGGCCATTCTCCAGACTTGAACCCCATCGAACATTTAAGGGATAACCTCAAAAGACAAATAAGAACACGTCCATCTCTTCCTGATACACTCCACGTTCTTGAAAGGACTCTTCGTGAAGAATGACTTAACCTCCAGCAAACAGACATGTCCAAACTGGTAGAAAGTATGCCGAGGCGTCTTCGAGTTGTAATTAAGGCAAGAGGTGGAAATACGCAATAGTGAAATGTTAATTAAAAATATAAAACAAAATTAAAACAAATTTTATCTGGCAGACCTTTTTCATTTTTTTTTATTTTTCATTTTCTTTAGCAATTTACATTTTTCTTACTTTTTTAGATAAAGTCTCAATTATTAAACGTTAAAAAACGTGAAACTTTGATTAATATATAAAAATATATACAAATCAAGCTATATTACAATTAGGTGGAATTTTTTGCCTTGCAGTGTATTTATCTCCTTCATCAGAACTATCACATTATAATTTTTAAATAAACATAAACATCTATTTACAATTTTAAAGAAATTTATTTTATATTATCTACTTGATCTGATTAAATTTGAGGTTAGTATGATTACAATATTTTACCTGCAATAATAACAAATTAGGGTTGAGAGATGATATGGGAGTTATTAAGGCTACCGTTATGGGAAAATATGCATCCCTGGATACACTTCATCCGCACAGTTTGAGGATAAAATTTTGCCACGGGACAAACTCTTGTCGTCCGTCCGAAGCGAGAAAATAGGGGTAATGGCTAAAATCTATGACAAACCCGTTCCCCTGATTAAACCCCAATTGAAACCCAATTCATTCTTTTTTTTTTTTTTTTTTTTTTTTTTTTTTTTTTTTTTTTTTTTTTTTTTTTTTTTTTTTTTTTTTTTTTTTTTTTTTTTTTTTTTTTTTTTTTTTTTNAATGATGGGATATAGCAGGTAATGTTATGTTCATTAAAGATCTCCAAAGAAACTAAAGAGTTCGCTGTAGTGTAGTTTTTTGTTTCTATTTTTAATCTGTTACGGCCAGAAGCCGAAATATTTTTAATGTTAGATGATATGTCTTTTTCTACCTTCCAAATTATCTTGCCTAGAGACATGGGATGTAGATTACCGATATTTTTGTCCAAACTCTCAATGAATACAAAAAAGGGTCCTATATCACTCGGTTTATATCTATTCTTTTTTAAAATTTCAAGCCTGGCCAGCCTTTTTTTGTTATAGTCTTCTTCATTATAAATTTTGCCTTCTTCTTTACTCATTATCGAGATTTTATTAAATTGAACTGCAGTGGCATCATTTGGTCTTTTCAAAGAATTTGATTTTACCTTATCCTCAGAAAATTCATCCATTTTTTCATATTGAACGGCATAGTTTGCATGATGGTCAGGGGGGTCCCCCCCACCGCTGACCTCACTCATAAAAATTTTTAAGTATTTAAAGGCGAAAAGAAAATTATATCTTCTATTAAATAATAATTTAAAATAAAATTAAAGAAAATTAGTTAGTACTCTCTGTTTTAACGAGAGTAGAACTCGAGCAGTAAACAAACACTAGATAAGAGAGTTGATCCGATCTACGCGATGTCTAAATCCCGACTGCAATTCATTCTTTCCCTTCATAATGATGCATTGCGGTTAGCCATAAAGAAATCAGCTGATGGAATCACCTCAAAAGAGAGATTCAAGCTCATTAAGTAACATTCCTGACAATCCTTAAATTTTATTAAGACAAAGTTAGAAAATAAAATTATATGAAAAAATAAAGGAGAGTTTCTTATTAATAAGGGTAATTAACTAAAAGCATATAAAATTAATTTCAATGGTTCATTAAATCCTCCAATGAGTTTTCATTTTATTTGTTTGATGAGTATGATACTTTTTTTATAAACCTGCAACAAAATATTACTACCTGTTTCGTCTTTCACGATTATAGAAAAATTTAGGAAAGAAATTATGATAGCCAATCAAAGCAGCATTTGGTTATATTTTACAACATGGCAAATAATTTTACAACTGCAGTGATCTAATTGGCTTGTTGCTGCCTTTGACTTGTTTTTTGCGCTTCTGATTATAAGAGCCAGATAATTTGTGAGGCATAATTAACTACTATGACAAAATTTATAACTCAGTAAAAATCCAATGTAAATGTTCAATATATAGAATAGTAAATTATAACAAAAGAAAAAGAAATGTAATAATTGTTAATAAATAAAAAATCTGTGGGAGAAAATTTCACAGGCGACCAATCATGCAATTAATTCACGGCGTTCGGGGATCCTAAACCCGCACTACATACTAGTCGTTCGGAAGTGTTGGCTGTTAGCGCCGTTCTATTAAATTTTTCTCCTTGAATAATAATAATTGCCTTGTAAATCAAAACAAAACATTGAATTTTGTTCAATGAATTAATAATACTACAATCTCCTTTGTTGCAGACTTTCTGTGTGGTTTCGAAACGATTCCGAAAGAAGTACATTCATCGCTTCACGGCAACACCATCATTCTTCCTGTTTTCGCCGTGGAATGCAATACGAAGAACGTGCATCTTCCTATGCACCAATCAGTACTTCGATTATGTCGTTATGACGACAATCCTACTCAACTGCGTCTTCCTCGCAAAAACTGAACCACTTGATGAAGCCGAGTAAGTATATAACATGAGTATCTGCTCCAAAAACCTCCTCCATACATAATTTGATTGACTCCAAGGTAATTTATCAATTTTTTTAAAATTTCATGTCTAAGTTATTTTATTTAGTTCTAAGTGAATTTTCTTGTCAGTTAATAAAGCAGCATTTTATTAACAATAAAACAGTGAATTATTTTAGAAACGGTTTATTATTGAAAGTTGTGTCGTAGAGATTCAACCTAATTAAGTAAAATCGTGACAATTCTTGAGTTTTAATAAGTGCTATTTCGACACTTTATGTTTAACTTTTTCCAATTTTTAGAGTACGACATGAACTAAATGTAAAACATTTCAATATATTATCATATTGTAATATAATGACATAATAACTAATAAGTTCTAGGGTAATAATTGATACTTTACCTATTAAATTTTACATCATTGCTGTTTTAATTTGTTTAATTGTTCTTCAATAAAACCGTTTTAATTGTCAATTATACCGTCCGAGAGTTTATCAATTTTCAATTTTCCTGCTGCTTTTGTTATATAATTTTAAAACAAAATAATGTAAACAATATTTTATTTAAAAGTCTTATGACTCAAATAAAATCGAATTAAATGGTAATACATTTTTGGATGTGAAGAAAATAATCTCCATGCAAGGACTTGAAGTCTTCGTGTATTATAAGGATCAGATAAGCTAGTAAGTTCTTATCGTGGAAACTTCAACATTACAAATTAGTGAGAAGTTTGTGCTTTACCAAGGAAGTAAAGTAGAATAATCGAAGGTAATATTCAAGCTTATAATTACACCGTTACACATACTAAAGCCATAGTCCCTTTGTAATAGAAGTACTTTTAAATTTCAGATACATTAATTAACATTTACTTTTTGACTGATTGTATATCAAGTACTACTTTTTGTTTCCGTTGGTTCTTTCTGTTTAATGTCGTGTCTGCAAATGGAATATGCATTGTTCAGCTCAAACCTGTATATGTAGCCGCTTATTTATCAATTTCTATTATTTAATTTTTACGTTAGTTATTTTGAGAAATAACTGATAATTTTAATGGTATTTTCGAGGTTCACATTCTTCAGATTACTAGTATTGTAGTAATATATTAGTTATGGACGGAAAAACATCAAGTGGTCATCGCCGGCCCTCTGCGCATAAAATGGAAAATTTTACGCTAGTATTTTACCTCAGCTTGTCAAATAACTAATAAAAGCAATTATGTTAGATTTAGTTTAAGATTTTTTTAATTGGATTTTTTAAAGGTTTTTTTATAGTTTTGTGATTAGAGGGGCGTTAAGCCTACTTTTTCTCTCTTTTCCTTCAAGATCGCATCGTTTTTGAACTCAACTATCAATAATAAATTTATTTTTTAAACATATGTTTATATGTATTATTTTATTCAGGCATACTCTTTAGTCTGAGTATTCAAGAAACTTTGAGTATTATAAAGGCTATTTCTGCTTGTTTTGTTTGGTTGAACTCTGAAACATATATCGATTATTTTTCTGAACATTCAGCTAGTACTTACAACGTCTTTATTTTCGTATTGTAAATTATTTATGTTTTTTTCAGTTAAATCAACCTGTTTTTCCCGAATTAAACATTCAGTTTAATGTGTGGTGATTTGACCGTTAGTCGATGAGATTATTCAGAAATCGTGAGATGCTGTCGGCTTTCTCAACACGACACACAAGAATGGCACAATTACGCAGAAAACAAACACTTTGAGCCCTGAAGATGATCTCAATAAGGTCGAAACGTTGGCACGATAAAGAAAAAATTTTTTTAGCCTACGTCACACCAGACCGCATCTCACGATTTCTGAATAATCATTCAGTTTAATTATGAGGAAAAGTATTAATGTTTTTGCTGAAAAGTTATTGTGTAATTTGTTCTTTATGAGCAAGATACCAAAAAGGTGACTGGACAGGCCAGAGTTAGTGAAGCGTTTATACAATTTTGCTTATTTTTACTAAGCAGATTTATCTAATAAAATGATTTCTATTAATAACTTTTATGATACTTTGGTGGAGAGCTTCCAGTTCGATTGATAAATAATTGTCCTATTTCGGTTTTTATTGCGTTCATTTCTCCTTGATGAGCATCACACCAGAAACGATCCTGAACAGGTCAGAGTTGGTGAAACTTATGCCAACAATATAATAAATCGTTTATGTTATGATAACGACATAATTAAGTAAACATCCATAAAGGCGAAATCGTTTTTCCCTCCCCATCACAACGAAGCCCCCTTGATAGTCGTGAAAGGAAGAAACAGTTTTGTTCTGGAAACGTGTTTATCACCATCATTCCGACAGCCCAGTCGACCCACTGGAACGACAAATTGACGATCCCAATCTGCTTTTGGACACGACCCCTACAATGAACCACCGTTCGACAGATTGCTCGTAATATTTCGATGGGTAGCAAATCTTCGATGAAACGTACGTCAAGAAAATGGATTGATCAAATTGGTCGTGAATAAATTTCACCTGAAATCATTTACGATCGTTTTATTCAATGTTACTTGACATACATAACCCTGATGAAATGATTAGTACAAATATAAGAAAATAAATAAATTTATTTACATCTAAACAATAAAATGTAAAGAAAAGACGATATTTTGTCGCTCTTTTGAACGGATAATAATCGTCTAAACTTACAGTAAAATTCTTGTTTTTGAGCTTCTCTATATTGGAAGGCACCTTCTTTTTCTCAATCCTACATAGATGTAATGTTCGGGTGTGTAACATTGAACCCTTTAAAAGCTATTGCATCCCCATTTTTCACACATAGCGTGAGACCTAGATGAACTAGTGTTCATCAAGGAACTTGATTGGTAGGCCTGAGTTCAATGGTTGAATTTATTCTACGGCTACGTTGTACATCCCAAAACACTTCTTCCGGTAGGCCAATGTGACGACACTGTTTGTTATTAATGTTAGTGTCTCTGTACGTGCGAATCTGCACATGTTGTGTTATGTTATACGAATTTTATTCCGATGCTCATTCTGTCTACACTGTCCTGTTAAAAATCCTGTTAAGAGTTGAAGTTTTTTCTCTCTTCGTTCGATGCATTCTGCTCTTTCTGTTCCAAAATTTGCTATAAAGTTCTTGGATTGTTTCTGGCCAATAAGTGAATTCCTTTGTTTCCTCATTTTTTCTTTTTTCCTTGCTCTATTGTCTATGGTACTCATTTCCACAGAGGGCTCAGGACCGATCAGCGGTATGGCAGCTCCTTTCCTTGCAAGAGTATCCGCTTTTTCGTTGCCTTCTACTCCCATGTGTCCTGGGGCCCAGCAGAGTCTGACTTTGTTCTGCGTGCCTAATATGTTTAATTTGGTTTTCCAGTTCAACAACATCTTTGAACTAATGATATTTGAGCTCAGTGCTTCGATGGCTGGCTGGCTATCTGACATGACTTTTTGTCTTTGTACCCTTTTCAAATTAAACTGGATACATCTCTGAGGGGCTTTTCCCTTTTTTTGGTACTTAGATTGATTCGGAAATTTTGTTTGAACTCGAATGTTCTGTTCATGTCGTCTCTCGGGACCATGAGTATCGGATGTTCCCTTCAATCTTACATAACCGTTGTTTGTCCTAGATTTGGAAAGTGCTGGTGATTTTATTTTCAAAAAAAATTTTATTTATCGGATTATTTGGGCAAAGTCTTTTTATATGAGTTAAGTACAAAAGCCTCTGTAAATCTTTAATTTTTCAGAACCAAATGGACGCTGTTTTTTATATGTGACGATTTTTGTTTAATTAAATTAGCTTACCCTTTCGAGTAATCTTTTTTTAAAATCAAAATATCATTAACTAAAGTGTTTCACTTTGAGGGGAATTCAATTAAATTCAATGAGATTAAACGTGGCATTGATTTTTAAGTTGAATTAAGTGTAAAGATTTATAACTGATAATTCATTATGTTTTTATTTTTCCTGAAAAAATAGCATGTAAAAAATTGATTATCGTTCTCTACGACAATAGTGAACTGTCTGTTTGGATCGTATGGATTATAGTTCTCAACAATCTGTTCTAATTCTTTTTTTGAAGGATTATCAGTATAAATCATCTATGCATTTTTTCAGAAGCTTTACCAGTTGTTTTACAAGGTTCAGTGAAAAGCAAAAGGGGTGCGTCGGTGTTATCTTGTCTGTCGTCTTTGATGGATTAAGTCTGGGGTCTTTTCGTTGTTTTTTCCGGTCTGTTGTCTTCGTCAATTTTATTTTTCGTGTTGAGAAAATTATGGTTGGAAATAATTTACAATAATAATAGTAGTTTATTGAAATGAAACCTCATGCTCTTAAATTGTCAACATACAAACAGAAAATGTTAATTATATTTTATTGTCTTCATAAATTCTTGGTTGGCATATTGTTAACAGTAAATTTTGGATGGTCACTTATGTGTTTTTTAATTACATTCTTAAACCTATATTATTTTAGTAGTTTTATATCGCAATTGAGCATATTATATCATTTCATTCCCAGGACCTCTAGGCTATTTTGGGTTTTATTGGTTCTGGAAAATAGAACAACTATATTATCCTTACGTCTAAGATAATAATCTATTGTTTCATTCTTGTGGTTGAATAAATTTAATATTTTTTTAAAATGTTTGTATACTTAAAAGATGTAAATCTTTGCCATTGTGGTTACTATAAACTTTTTAAACGTAGTGAGAGTTACTTCGCTTTTGAAATCTTAAATACATTTGAGACCAGATTCACCTCCCCGACGACAAATGCCATTACATAATTGGCCCTGAAAAAGTCACAGTTCGACTGAAAGTTGGATTGGAGTAGTTGGCACTAGATATTTGATTAATATTATGTTATGACATAAATTAGAATTTAAGGTATATAATAAAAATATGGATCCAATTCACAATCACCCCTGTGGTACATTTTCACTAGCACTTCTAAAGGCAGAATTAAGGGGCTACATAATCATAAATAACATTAATAATGTTGAAAACTAGATTGATTAAAAA